AAAACACTGAATCATTTTTCAAAACAACAAAATGTAATTTATTTGAAGAAAACATAACTTGTTCTCAATTCATGTTATTCAAAACTTTAAAGAAATAACATTGGAAAACATTTCATAAAAATAAATCCAAATCACTTATTCACCGAATTTCCATGGGCTCGTTGCATCACTCTCCATCTTCTCCTCCATCCATGCCTGAGATAGAATTTCTTCAATTTGTAGAGATGGGATTAAACCCATGAGTTGAAAAACTCAATAGGTGTCATAGGTGCATTCGTGATCAAGCTATACATTTCAAAACATTAACTTTATAACTTTTCATACATGCCGTACCCAGAGGCACCATTTGACATGAAGGGGTATGCTGTACCCGAGGGCACCATTTGACATACAAACGTTTCTTCAACATAGAGGGGTATGCTGTACCGGAGTACCATTTGACATACAAACATTAACATGAATCGAAACTTATAACTTAACACGATTAAACACATTGCACCTCTACCTACCTTGATTGATACTTTTGAAACTTTGAGAACTTGGATTGAAAACTTCGATGAAACTTGGACGTGGAAAGAAATACACTCCTTGAATGTTTGAAAACCATTGAGAATTGATGTTTGGAAACACTTTTTAAACTTTTAAGAAAAATAGTTTTCCTCCCTCTCTTTTTCTCTCTTGGAAACTCTTTTTTTAGTATGGAAAAGCTCTTGCTTTTGGTGTGAGAAAAAATGAGTGAAATAAGGTCTCTATTTATAGGTAAATATTCCATAACTTAAAGCTAATGAAGGGTCAAATTTCATTTAAGAGAGAAAACATGGGTGCTATTTAAGTTTGAGGTTAAATGATTCAATTTAGTGGGGTTTTTATTGCCAAAAATGTGGGTGGTCCTTTGAGAAAATAATTGATGAAAATAAATATTTAAATTCTAGAGAAAAATGAGAATTTTCATTTTAGGCAGTTTTGGCTGACCGGTTGTAGTCCGGTTGACACTGTTGTAGCCTTTAGTGTTTCTATCATAACTTCTTCTCCCGATTTCCGATTGAGGTAATTCAAAGTGCGTTGGAAATATAACTCAAAGAGATACAACTTTTATTTAGATATCATTTTCCAAATTGAATGTTTCCTATGTCGAAAATGGGTCTCAAATGAGACTAAAATCTGAAGTATACTTTAGTCATCCAATATTCATGTCTTAGTGCCACTAAGGTGTCTAGAATTATTTAGGGTTCTACATCTCCCACACCTTAATTAAAATTTTGTCCTCAAAATTTACCTTCTGATTGGGCGAATAGTGATGGATACTTGTCTTTGGCTTCTTCTTCTTTTTCCCAAGTGGCTTCTTCTATGCCGTGATGATTCCACTGTATCTTAACCAACTGAATCTCTTTATTCCTTATTTTATGCACTTTTCGATCCAATATCTTGATTGGTAGTTCCTCATACAACAAATCTTTCTATACCTCCAAGGTTTAATAACTCACTACATGATTAGAATCATGTACATACTTCTTTATCATCGATATATGGAACACATTGTGCACTACCGATAATTCAGGTGGTGAAGCTAGTCGATAAGCCACATTTCTGACTCTATCAAGTATCTCGAAAGATCCGATATACCGAGGTCATAGCTTGCCTTTCTTTCCAAATCTAAGTATACCTTTCATCAGTGCTACTTTCAAAAACACTTTATCCCCAACTTGAATTTCTAAATCCTTCCTCCTTCTATCTACATAGCTCTTTTGTCGATCCTGTGCTGCCTTTATTCTTGCATGGATCTTATCGATTACCTCGACCGTCCTTTCAACTATTTCTGGTCCTAAAACTCTCTTCTCTCCGACTTCATCCTAATGAATAGGGGATCTACATCTTCTACCATAGAGAGCTTCGTATGGTGCCATTCAAGTAGTTGCTCGAAAATTGTTATTATAAGAGAACTCTACTAGAGGTAAGTATGACTCCCAATTACCTCCTAGATCCAAAACACATGTTCTCAGCATGTCTTCCAAAGTTTGGATGGTCCTTTTAGACTGACCATCAGACTGAGGGTAATATGCTGTACTAAAGTTCAGCTTCGTTCCCATAGGTCCTTGTAGACTTTTCAAAAATTTGGACGTGAACCTTGGGTCTCTGTTAGACACCATGGATACAAGTACACCGTGTAATCTCACAACCTCTTTAATGTACAATTGTGCCAATTGGTTTAAGCTAAATGTCATTTTCACTGGAAAAAAATGAGCTGACTTTGTTAGTCGATCCACTACTACCCATATAGCATTATTTCCTCTTGCTGACTTCAGGAATCCAACCACAAAGTCCATCGTGATATTTTCCCATTTCCATTCAGATATATCTAGTGGATTTAACAATCCAGATGGTTTTTGGTGTTCTGCCTTAACCTGTTGACATACCATGCACTTCTGCACGTACAGCCCTATACTTCTTTTCATATTTCTCCACCAAAATGTATCTCGAAGATCTTGATTCATTTTCGTACCACCGAGATGTACGGTGTACGAGGTGGAATGAGCTTTTTTCAATATCTCGTTTCTCAAGGCTTCATCCTTAGGCACGCAAATTCTTCCTCTAAATATCAGTGCCTGATCCTCAATTATTCCAAAGTCCTTTTTCTTATTGGTACCAACTTCATTTTTAATCTTCTGCAAAAATGAGTCTTTATTTTGTGCTTCTATAATTCGATCTCTAAGAGTAGGTTAAATTATTAAAGCTGCTAGACGAGCAGTGACTTGTCCTGGTGTGGTAACCACTTCGATCTGCAACTTTTCCAAGTCCTTGACTAACTCCACTTGAGAGGTGGGTAGTGACGTCAATTATCCCATTGATTTTCTACCTAGAGCGTCGGCCACAACATTAGCCTTACCCGGATGGTAGTGAATAATGCAGTCGTAATCGTTCACCAATTCCAACCATCATCTTTGTCGCATATTCAATTCCTTCTATGTGAAGAAATACTTGAGACTTTTGTGATATGTGTAGATATCACACTTCCGTCCATACAAGTAGTGTCGCCATATCTTCAAAGCGTGTACTACCGCTGCAAGTTCTAAATCATGTGTCGGGTAGTTTTGCTCGTGTTTCTTCAATTATCTTGAAGCATAGGGTATCACTTTTCCATTCTGCATTAGTACACATCCCAATCCTTGATTAGATGCGTCGTTGTATATAACAAACCCTTCCGTACCCTCGTATTGTTAATACAGGTGCTGATATCAACTTCTGCTTAAGTTCTTGGAAACTTTGTTCGCATTTTTTCGTCCATTGAAATTTTACTTCCTTCCTTGTAAGTTGCATCATTGGTCCAGCTATTTTGGAGAATCCTTCTATGAATCTCCTATAACATCCAGCCAATCCTAGAAAACTCCGTACTTCGCCAGCATTTGTTGGTGCTTTCCAGTTGGTTACTGCTTCTACTTTTGCTGGATCAACTTCAATCCCTTGGGCAGTAACTACATGTCCAAGAAATCCAACTCGTTCAAGCCAAAACTCGCACTTCTTGAATTTGGCATACAGCTTTTCCTTGCGTAATACCTCTAAGGCTATTCTCAAGTGCTCTTCTTGTTGCTCCTTACTCTTGGAATATATCAGAATGTCATCGATGAAGACTATGACAAACTTATCCAAGTATTGATGAAACACTCGATTCATCAGGTCCATGAACACTGCAGGTGCATTGGTTAGCCCAAACGGCATCACCGTAAACTCGTAGTGTCCATATTGAGTTCTAAAAGCTGTCATAGGTATATCCTTTGTCTCTACTTTCAGTTGATGGTATCCTGATTGTAAGTCGATCTTGGAAAATACCTTAGCTCCTTTCAGTTGATCTAACAGATCCTCGATCCTCGGGAGTGGGTACTTATTCTTGATGGTTAATCGATTTATCTCCCTTTAATCGATGCACGTCCTCAAGCTTCCATCTTTCTTCTTTACAAACAACACCGGCGCACCCCATGGAGACACGCTTGGTCGTACGAAGCCTATATCTAGGAGTTCTTGCAATTGCTTCTTTAATTCTTGTAGTTCCTTTGGGGCCATTCGATATGGGGCCTTAGATACTGGTGCCGCCCCGAGAATTAGGTCTATGGTGAATTCCACTTGTCTATCGAGTGGAATACTAGATAGATCTTCTGGAAACACATCTACGAATTCCCGTACTACTGGTACATCTTCAACCCTTATCGTCTCTTGTTTTCCTCTTGAGATACTTACTAGATATCATTAACATGTTTCTTTTCTCAACATCTTCTCAACGTGTAAAGCCGATACTAGTTAAATAAGGGACGGTGTCCAGGATGCAAGCCATGTCCAGGATGCGGCAGGGATGCATCTAGACTTTCAGGTATTTTTAGGCAGTTTTTGGAACACGATGTGCAGGCAATGTTCGGGATGCGTCTGGTCTGCGACAGGGATACAGCCTGGTTTTTAGGCAATTTTCAGGACACGACGTGTAGGCCATGTCCAGGATGTTGCAAGGACACATCTTGATTTTCACATTTTTCTATGTAGTTTCTTGGACACGGTGTGCAGGCAATGTTCGAAACTCATCTTGGTTGCGACAAGGATGTATCCTAAATAGGGGGATACACAACAACTGTAGGAGGAGGAGAAGGAATCGTAGTACACTGATCATAAGAATGATCCAATTGTTTACAAGAGAAGCAAAAAATTGGCCGCTTCTAATAAATAATTGTCTGCCAAAAGCTATGGTTACCGGCGCGCTCAATCCAAACCCTTTTGGGCAACTTATGCCGCAAATTCACCTTAATACACACCCTTACCTCACTAGGGTGTCTCAAGTCAGAGGTGGCCTCATCGAGGTTTAGGGCATAGGGTTTAAGGTTTAGGATTTTTTTAGCTGAATTTTTGTTTAATAAGTTCTAACGAAGCAGCAGAATTCAGTTTTACTGATATTTGTAAAGTCATAGAGTGTTTAACTAAGCCAAAACACAATAATTATAGGATAATAATTATTAACTAGATTAGAAGAAGCCATTGTATGGACTTAATTGAGGAGGTAGCTGAGAAGATGAGACCATGTCCATCAAATCCGTGTCCATTGTTCTTCTAAAGGTTGTACCTCGATTAATTGTTGGCAGATTTGTTGTTAAATTTATGCTTCGAGCATTGTCTCCATCCCATTGATATGAAAAGTACAACTCATCGAGATAAATTTGTGAAGCTCCAGTCTCCACGCTTCGAAAGTTAGAATTAAATTCCATGACTAAATCTAAATTCTTAGAATGGAAAAATTTATTCCCTATAGGGTTTGGAGTAGAATGGAATAAGTTATTTTCCACATATTCTACAGTAGGTAGTTGAGAATTAGTTGTCTGTAAAATCTCCGGGAAAGTGAAGAAAATGGTCGGATGATTATAATTTTCATCAATGTTGAAGCTATAAGTATTCTCAGATATCCCTTTAGCTGGATTCATTAGTTGACAATGATCGACTGGAATTGAATCGATGGACAGATTGTTTTCAAACAGGGTTTTCATGAAATCCATTTTTTTATTACATGATTCGAAACTAAAAAATGGTGTAGAGTCTTCATCACTAGAGAGTCGTGTGCCCGCATTGGACGGATTTGCTGCAGTGGTGGTGGTGCTGGAATTTGAGTTAGTGGAGATGGAACCATTACTGAAATATTTTTTTATGATGTAATCTTATAATAATGTTGACTGTCTTCTATCTCCTTTTACTTTCTTCATCTTTCTCCTTGAAATCTGCCTCCTTTTTGTGGCATTCCAGTGATTCTTTATTGAAATTTCAGTTCTACCAGGAATGTACTTAGCTATCTCTAGCCATCGATTTCCAAGTCTTTCATGTGCTTGAATTAACCATCTCTCTTCATCGTCAGTCAAGACGTCCTTCTTGATATGAGAATGCAGATGATTAATCTTCATCTACCAACCATTTCTTCAGCTATTACAGCCCATTTCCTCAATCCAAATTGATGTACTAAGCCAATCAGTCTCCTGTCTTCTTCGCCTATCCACTTGCTCTTTATCTGATATTCGGAAGAAGAACTATCCTCTCTCTTCTCCTTTCGATCAGGATTGACCGGTGTAGGTATCACATTTACTGAAAGATTTTCACTCGAAGTTTGTTTTTCATGTTGAAGTCCTTCCATGAAAGCTTGGCTCTCCGGTGGTGTAATTACTGGTTGTGCCATTTGAAGAAAAATTCTGAAACTGATTTACTTCATTAGGAGGAAAATGGTTTAGGGTTTAGGGTCTAGGGTTCAGGGTCAGGGCTTAGGGTTTAGGACTTTGTGCTTACGATTTAGGGCCTGGATTTAGGGTTTCTTGGACACGGTGTACAGGACATGTCTAGGACGCAGCCTTATTTTTAGGCATTTTCAGACATGTCCTGGATGCATTCTAGCTGCAGACGCAATTCGATTTTTAAGCATTTCTAGGCAGTTTATGGGTATAGTGTGCAAGCCATGTCCGAGAGGCGTCCTGGCTGCGGACGCAATCTAATTTTCAAGTATTTGTAGGCAGTTTCTAGGACATAGTGTACAGGGCATGTCCGGGATGCATCCTGTCCATGGACGCAATCTGGTTTTTAGGCATTTCTAGGCAGTTTATGGGCACGGTGTGCAGGCCATGTCCGAGAGGCATCCTAGCCACGGACGCAATCTAATTTTCAGGCATTTATAGGTAATTTCTGGGCATGGTGTGCAGGCAATGTTCGGGACGTGTCATGACCACGTTAGGGGCGCAAGCAGATTCTCAACCAAATGAATGAAGCACGGTGTTCAGGCCATGTTAGGACGCATGCATGTTCCCAGACATTTTGGGCAGTTTTTGGGACACGGTGTGTAGGCCAAATTCGGGACAAGTCATGGCCACGGAAGGGACGCAGCCTGATTTACAGGCATTTTTTGACAGTTTTTGGGCACTGTGTAATCTCATTTTCAGGGATGTAACCTCATTTTTAGGCATTTCTAGGCAGTTTCTAGGTTATGGTGTGCAGGCCATGTTCAGGACGCATCCGATCCACGGTAGGGACGGAGCCTGATTTTCAAGCATTTCAAAGTAGTTTTTTAGCACGACTTGCAGACCATGTTCGAGACGCATCCTGATCATGGCAGGGACGCAACCTGATTTCCAGGCATTTCTAGGCAATTTCTGGGATACGGTGTGCAGGCAATGTCCAAGATATGGGAGGGATACAGCCTGATTTTCATGATATTCTAGGCAATTTTTGGGACATGATGTGCAGGCCATGTCCGGGACTCGTCTGGGCCATGATAGGGATGCAGCCTAATTTCTATGCATTTCTACGCTGTTTCTAGGACACGGTGTGCAGGCCATGACCTAGCCGCAGTAGGGACGCAGCCTAATTTTCAAGCATTTCTAGGTAGTTTTAGGGTCACAGAGTGTAAGCCATGTCCAGGATGCGGCAAGGATGTATCCTGATTTTTGGGTAATTCTAGACAATTTTTTGGTGCACGGTGTGCAGGCAATGTCCGGGACACGTCTTGGCTACGACAAGGGTGCAATCAGATTTCCAGGCATTTCTGAGCAGTTTTTGGGACACATTGTGTAAGCCATGTCCATGACACGTCATGAACGTAGCCTGATTTTCAAGCGTTTCTAGGCAGTTTCTGGGAGACGGTGTGCAGGCCATGAACGGGACGCTTCTAGGCGATGGCAGGGACACAGCCTGATCTTCAGGCATTTTTGGGAAGTTTTTGGGCATGGTGTACGGGCCACTTCTGGGACTTGCCCGACCGCGGTAGGGACGCCGCCTAATTTTTAGGCATTTGCAGGCAGTTTGTGGGTACAATGTGCAGGCCATGTCCAGGATGCATCCTAGCTGAGGTAGGGACGCATCCCGATTTTCAGCCATTTCATGGCAATTTTTGGGACTCGATGTGCAGGCCATGTCCGGGATGCGTCATGGCCACGGTAGGGATGGAGCCTAATTTTCAGGCAATTCTGGGCAATTTCATGGACACAGTGTGCAAGCCATGTCCAGGATGTGGCAGGGACGCATCCAGACTTTCAAGTATTTTTAGACAATTCTTGGAACACGATGTGCATGCAATGTTCGGGAAGCGTCTGGTCCGCAAGAGGGATGAAGCAATGTTTTCAAGCAGTTTTCGGGACACGGGGTGTAGGCCATTTCTCGGATACTGCAAGGACACTTCTTGATTTTCACATTTTTTTATGTAGTTTCTTGGACACGGTGTGCAGGCAATGTCCGGGACTCGTCTAGGCTACGGTAAGGATGCAGCCTAAACAGGGGGATACACAACAACTGTAGGGGAAGGAGAACGAACCGTAGTACACTGAACATAAGAATGGTCCAATTTTTTACAAGAGAAGCAAAAAATCGGCCACTTCTAGTAAATAACTATCTGCCAAAAGCCACGGTTACCGGCGCACTCAATCCAAACCCTCTCAGGTAACTTATGCCCGGAATTTACCTCAATAAACACCCTTACCTCACTAGGGCATCTCAAGTTGGAGGTGGCCTCATTGAGGTTTAGGGCTTAGGGTCTAGGGTTTAGGGTTTTTTTTACCTGAATTTCCCTTTAATAAGCTCTAACGAAGCAGTAAAATTCAGTTTTACCGAAATTTGTAAAGTCATAGAGTGTTTAACTAAGCCAAAACACAATAATTATGGGATAATAATTATTATCTAGATTAGAAGAAGCCATTGTCGGACTTAATTGAGGAGGCAGCTGAGAAGATGAGACCATGTCTGTTGTGCTTCCAAAGGTTGTACTTTGATTAATTGTTGGCAGATTTGTTGTTAAATTTACTCTTCCAGCATTGCCTCCATCCCATTGATATGAAAAGTACAACTCATCAGGATAAATCTGTGAAGCTCTAGACTCCATGCTTCGAAAGTTAGAATTAAATTCCATGATTAAATCTGAATTCTTAGAATGGAAAAATTTATTCCCCATAGGGTTTGGAGCAGAATGGAATAAGTCATTTTCCACATATTCTACAGTAGACAGTTGAGAATAAGTGGTCTGTAAAATCTCCGGGGAAGTGAAAATAATGGTCGGATGATTATAATTTTCATCAATGTTGAAGCTATAAGTATTCTCAAATGTCCGTTCAGCTGGATTCATTGGTTGACAATGATTGATTGGAATTGAATCGATGGACAGATTGTTTTCAAACAGGGTTTTCATGAAATCCATTTTGTTATTGCATAATTCAAAATTGAAAAATGGTGTAGAGTCTTCATCACTAGAGAGTCGTGTGCCGACGTTGGACGGATTCGCTGCAATGGTGGTGGTTCTGGAATTTGAGTTAGTGGAGGTGGAACCATTATTGAAATAATTTTTTATGATGTAATCTTATAATAATGTTGACCGTCTTCTATCTCCTTTTACTTTCTTTATCTTTCTCCTTGAAATCTGCCTCCTTTTTATGGCATTCCAGTGATTCTTTATTGAATTTTTAGTTCTTCCAAGAATGTATTTAGCTATCTCTAGCCATCGATTTCCAAGTCTTTCATGTGCTTGAATTAACTATCTCTCTTCATTGTCAGTCAAAACGTCCTTCTTGATACGAGAATCCAGATGATTATTCCATCGCTCGCGACACTGTTTTCCCACTCTACCAACCATTTCTTCAGCTATTACAACCCATTTTCTCAATCCAAATTGATGTACTAAGCTAATCAGTCTCCTGTCTTCTTCGCCTGTCCACTGGCCTTTTATTTGATATCCGGAAGAAAAACTATTCTCTCTCTTCTCCTTTCGATCAGGATTAACTGATGCAGGTATCACATTTACTGAAAGATTTTCACCCAAAGTTTGTTTTTCATGTTGAAGTCCTTCCATGAAGCATGGCTCTCTGGTGGTGTAATTACTGGTTGTGCCATTTGAAGAAAAATTCTAAAACTGATTTACTTCATTAGAAGGAAAATGGTTTAGGGTCCAGGGTTCAGGGTTCAGGATCCAGGGTCCAGGGTTCAGGGTTAGGGCTTAGGGTTTAGGGCTTTGGCCTTACGATTTAGGGCCTGGGGTTTAGGGTTTCTAGGACACGGTGTATAGGACATGTCCAGGATGTAGCCTTATTTTCAGGCATTTGTAGGTAGTTTCTGGGACACGATGTGCAGGCCATGTTCAGGATGTGTCTTGGCCATGGACGTAATCTGATTTTTAGGCATTTCTAGGCAGTTTATGGAAATGGTGTGCAGGCCATGTCCAAGAGGCGTCCTAGCCGCGGACATAATCTAATTTTCAGGCATTTCTAGGTAGTTTCTGGGACATGGTGTGCAGGCCATGTCTGGGATGCGTCGTGGCTGCGGACGCAATCTGATTTTTAGGCATTTCTAGGCAGTTTATGGGCACGGTGTGCAGGCCATGTCCGAGAGGCATCCTGGCCGCGAACGCAATCTGATTATCAAGTATTTTTAGTTAGTTTCTAGGCACGGTGTGTAGGCAATGTTCGGGATGCGTCCTGACCACGTTAGGGGCGCAAGCAGAGTTTCAACCAAATGAAGAAAGCATGGTGTGCAGGCTATGTAAGGGCGCATGCATGTTCTCAGACATTTTGGATAGTTTTTGGGACACGGTGTGCGGGCCAAATTCGGGACAAGTCATGGCCACGAAAAGGATGCAGCCTGATTTTTAGTCATTTTTCGACAATTTTTAGGCACTCTGTGCAAGCCATGTTCAGGACACATCCTGGACGTGACAGGAATGTAACCTCATTTTTAAGCATTTCTAGGCAGTTTCTAGGACATGGTGTGCAGGCCATGTTCAGGACGCATCCGAGCCACGACAGAGACGGAGCCTGATTTTCAAGCATTTTAACACAATTTTTTAGCACAGCGTGCAGACCATGTTCAGGATGCATCCTGATCGTGGAAGGAATGCAACCTAATTTCCAAGCATTTCTAGGCAATTTCTAAGATACGGTGTGCAGCCATTGTCCAAGATGCGGCAGGGACGCAACCTAATTTTCATGATATTCTAGGCAATTTCTGGGACGTGATGTGCAGGCCATGTTCGGGACTCGTTTGTGTCGCGACAGGGATACAACCTGATTTCTATGCATTTCTACGCAGTTTCTAGGGCACGGTGTGCAGGCCATCTCCTAGCCGTGGTAGGGACGTAGCCTAATTTTCAAGCATTTCTAGGCAGTGTCTGGGTCACAGAGTGTAAGCCATGTCCAGGATGCGGCAGGGACGTATCTTGATTTTTGGGTATTTCTAGATAATTTTCTGGTGTACGGTGTGCAGGCAATGTTCGGGATGCGTCTGGGATGCGGCAGGGATGCAACCGGATTTTCAGGCAATTCTAGGCAGTTTTTGGGACATAGTGTGCAAGCCACATCCACGAAGCGTCTGGGATGCAGCCCAATTTTTAGGCATTTCTAGGCAGTTTCTGGGAGACGGGTGCAGGCCATGAACGGGATGCTTCTGGATGACGACAGGGATGCAGCCTGATCTTCAGGCATTTCTGGGAAGTTTTTGGGCACGGTGTGTTGGCCTCTTCTTGGACTTGCCTGACCACGGTAGGAACGTCGCCTGGTTTTCAGGCATTTGTAGGCATTTTGTGGGCACGATGTACAGGCCATGTCCAGGACGCGTCCTAGCCGAGGTAGGGATGCATCCTGATTTTTAGGCATTTTTTGACAATTTTTGGGACTCGATGTGCAGGCCATGTTCGGGACGCGTCATGGCTGTGGTAGGGATAGAGCCTGATTTTCAAGAAATTCTAGGTAGTTTCTAGGACTCGGTGTGCAGGCCATGTCCAGGATGCAGTAGGGACACATCCTGACTTTAAGGTATTTTTAGGCAATTTCTGGGACACGATGTGCAGGCAGTGCTCGGGACGCATCTGGGCTGTGGCAGGGATGTAGCCTGGTTTCCAGGCATTTCTTGGTAGTTTCTGAGACACGCCGTGTAGGTTATGTCCAGGATGCTGCAGGGACACATCCTGATTTTCACATATTTCTAGGCAATCTCTTTGGCACATGTGCAGGAAATTTTCGAGATGTGTCAGGGCTGCTGCAAGGATGTAGCCTGATTTCCAAGCATTTCTAGATAGATTTTGGGATATGGTGTGCAGGCCATGTCCAAGATGAGGTTGAGATGCAGTTTGATTTACAGGCATTTCTAGGTAATTTTTTGGTATACGGTGTGCAAGCTTTGATCGAGACGTATTCGGGCCACGTTGGAGTCATAGCTTGATATTCAAGCATTCGTGGAAAGTTTTTGGGCACGGTGTGTTGGCCACGTCCGGGACGCATCCTAGCTACAGTAGGGATGCATCCTAATTTTCAGGTATTTGTAGGTTGTTTGTGGGCACGGTGTGCAGGCCAAGTTCAGGATGCATCCTGGCTTTGGCTTGGACGCAGCCTGATTTTTAGGCAGTTCATGGCAATTTCTTGGACTCAGTGTGTTGGCCATGTTCGAGACACCCCATGGCCATGACAGGGATGCATCCTGGCCACGGTAGGGATGCATCCTGATTTTCAGGCATTTGTAGGCCTTTTGTGGGCACGATGTGCAGGCCATATCTGGGACATGTCCTAGCCGTGGCAGGGTTGCAGCCTAATTTTCGGACATTTCTTGGCAATTTCTGGGACTTGGTGTGCAGGCCATGTTCGAGACGCATCATGGCCACGATAAGGATAGAGCCTGATTTTCAGGCAATTTTGGGCAGTTTCTGGGATACAATGTGCAGGCCATGTCCAGGATGCGACAAGGACGCATCTTGACTTTCAGGTATTTTTAGGCAGTTTTTGAAACATAGTGTGCAAGTAATGTCAGGGACGTGTCTTTGCTGAGGTAGGGATGCAGTCTGGTTTCAAGGCATTTCTAGGCAGTTTCTAGGACATGGTGTGCTGGCCATGTCCAAGATGCTATGGGACACATCCTAATTTTCACATATTTCTAGGCAATTTCTTTGACCCAGTTGCAGGCAATTTTGGGATGCGTTGGGCCTAATGCAGGGATGCAGCTTGATTTTCAGGCATTTATAGGCAGTTTCTGAGACACAGTGTTCAGGCCATGACCAGGATGTGTCAGGGCCACGCAGGGATATAGCTTGATTTTCAGGCATTCTTGGGAAGTTTTTGGCCATGGTGTACAGGCCACGTCCGAGACGCGTCCTAGCCACTGTAGGGATGCAGCCTAATTTTCAGGCATTTGCAGGCAGTTTATGGGCACGGTGTGCAAGCCATGTCCGGGTGGCTGGGGCGCAGCCTCATTTTTAGGTATTTCTTGGCAATTTTTGGGACTCAGTGTACAGGCCACGTCTGGGACTCTTCATGGTCAAGGCAGGGACAGAGCCTGATTTTCAGGCAATTCTGGGCAGTTTCATGGACATGGTGTACAAGCCATGTCCAGGATGCGGTAGGAACGCATCTAGACTTTCAGTTATTTTTAGGCATTTTCTGGAACATGATGTGCAGGCAATGTCTGGGACGCGTCTGGTCTGCGGTAGGGATGCAGTCTCATTTTCAGGCAATTTTTGGGACACGACGTGTAGGCCATGTCCAGGATGCTGTAGGGACAAATCCTGATTTTCACGTATTTCTAGGCAGTTTCTCGGACACGATGTCCAGGCAATGTTTGGGACTCGTCTTGGCTGCGGCAAGGATGCAGCCTAAACAGGGGGATGCATAACAACTATAGGGGGAAGAGAAGGAACTGTAGTACACTTATTAAAATGGGAACTTGATAAAATTTGTTAAGAAGTGAATTGTTAAGTGTCAATCGAACATTAATGTAATTGAGAAAGTGTCAATAGGGTTTATTTGCACCATAAATTGGGAAATTTTTTTAGAATGTCTATCAATTTCTCTTTTTGTATCACTTGGGAGAAAAGAGAGAGAGATTTTGTAATTTTCCTTTCTACAAATTATATAGTGAAATTCATCGGTTAAAACTTACAATTTGCTGGCTGTTGGATCGGAATGAACAGCTTCTCATTTTAGAAAGGTGGTGATGTTTAGCTAGGCTTAAAGAACTTTAATCATAAATAAATAAGTAAATTTAAAACTAAATAAATTTTTTATTTGTCAATATTGGCAACAATACCATTTTGGGCTAATTTAGAATATACTTAAATTTACTTTAAAAAAAATTTTTTATCCATTAAAGGAAAATTATGGAAAAATCATGCATACACTACAAAGGAAAGTAAATGATAAAGATCGAGAAACAACCTAAAAATTCCAAACGAAAAGCATAAAATCAGCTTATTAAAGTTAGCTAAATCAGTACTAATTTAGTAAAAAATAAGCAGAAAGAAACAAAAATTGAAACCCATGATTGATGATTAAAACAATGGAAAAAATAAATCAATTTCTATGACTAAAACTTATTAAAAAAATCCCTAAATATAGCCCATGAAAACCAAAATAATTCTGAGTAATCCAAAAAAAAAATAAGAAAGAATATGCAAAATTACATTTGATTCGCTAGCGTTTACTTCATTACCACCAGCCACGAGAGGTCGTTAAAGAATTGATTTCCTTGTATCTTTAAAAAGATGAATTAGATGAATATTTCAATATTATTCATAACATCCCATACCCTGAGAGAGTTTCCAAGCATTTCTAGAGAGTTTCTGGGATACGGTGTATAGACCATGTCTAGGACGCGGCTGGGACGCAGGTTGATTTACAGGCATTTCTAGGCAGTTTTTGGGATATGGTGTGCAGGCCTTGACCGAGAAGCGTCTGGGCCACGTCAGGGACGCTACTTTATTTTTAGGCATTTTTGGGAAGTTTTTGGGCATGGTGTGTAGCCTACAGTAGGGACACATCCTGATTTTCAAGCATTTGTAGGCAGTTTGTGGACACTGTGTACATGCCATGTCCAGGACGCGTCCTAGTCATGGTAGGGACACAGCCTGATTTTTAGGCATTTCTTAGCAATTTTTGGGACTCGATGTGTAGGCCATGTCTGGGACGCGTTATGGCCATGGTAGGGATGGAGCCTAATTTTCAGGCAATTCTGGCCAGTTTTTGGGACACGGTGTGCAGTCCATATCCAGGATGCGACAGGGATGCATCCTGACTTTCAGGTATTTTTAGGCAACTTCTGGAGTACGGTGCGCAGGCAATGTCCGGGACGCGTCTGGGCCGCGACAGGGATGCAGCCTAGTTTCCAGGCATTTTTAGGCAGTTTCTAGGACATGGTGTGTGGGCCATGTCCAGGATGCTATAGGGACACATCCTGATTTTCACATATTTCTACGCAATTTCTTCAACCCAGTGTGCAGGTAATTTTTGGGAAGCGTTGGGGCTGCTGTAGGGATGCAGCCTGATTTCCAGGCACTTTTAGGTAGTTTTTGGGACACGGTGTGCAGGTCATGTCCAGGACGCGATAGGGATGCAACCTAATTTTCAGGCATTTCTAGGCAGTTTTTGGGACACGGTGTTCATGCCATGACAGGACACGTCAGGGTCATGCAGGGATGCAGCCTGATTTTAAGGCATTCTTGGGATGTTTTTGGGCATGGTGTGCAGGTCGCGTCCGGGACGCGTCCTAGCCGCTATAGGGATGCAGCCTAATTTTCAAGCATTTGTAGGCAGTTTGTGGGCACAGTGTGCAGGCCATGTCCGGGACGCATCCAGGCCGCGGCTAGGATGTCGCCTAATTTTCAGGCATTTCATGGTAATTTCTAGGATTTGGTGTGTAGGCCATGTCCGGGACGCGTCATGGTCAAGGTAGGGACGAAGCCTAATTTTCAGGCAATTATGGGTAACTTCGTGGACACGGTGCGCCGGTTACGTCCAGGATGCGGCAGGGATGCATCCAGACTTTCAGGTATTTTTAGGTAGTTTCTGGAACACGATGTACAGGCCATATCCGAGATGCGTCTGGTCCGTGGTAGGGA